ACAGGCCCCCGCCGTGTCGCCTTGCAGAGTTGGACCTGAATACCAAGTGCATCGTGGAGATGGAAGGGAACCAGACGGTGCTGCACCCTCCGCCTTCCAACACCAAGCAGGGAGAAAGGTAAAAACCCAAGTCGCTGTGCCCCAAATAAGAACCCGGCCCCGGTTCCTCTGCCTCAGCCTCGCAGGCGGGCTTTGTTAGGGGGGCGATGGGGTCCTGAACTTCATTCTCGGCCCCTTTCGGGCTCTGTGGTGGGGGGGAGCGGGCGAGAGTAAGCGCCAGCCGGGCATCGCTGCCTTGGGCTTGCATCCCTGGGAAGTAAGGACCAGACCTTCCTTACCGGGCTTCCTGAGTAGAGTCGAAGGTAGAGAAATAGGGTTGTGGAGACAGAAGATCCCTATTGGCCTCCCACGTTTAAAAGCTGATTCTTGGTTAACTGCTCAAAAAATAAGGTGTTGATGAGGTAAGGACTTAAACTGACTGTGTATACTGTTTTCAGAAACTTCCCTTGAGTGCAGGCTGTACTACTTGGTGTAGCCTGTGGGGGAACAATAAAAATAATGAATTTTATGCTATTGATGGTATTTTTTTTTTGTTTACTAGGTTTTAACATATTTGCATTTGAAAAAGCTGTAATTGCTAGATCCTTTATTAATTCAGTGTTCTCTGAAGTAGCCTATGAGAATATGCTGAAATAATTTTGAAATCTGGCATTTAGTTGTGATGCCCCAGTAAAGAATACCCTTGGAAATAATCCAAAATACCAATGCACTAGACTGTAAAAATAGATCAGAACAGGAAAAGATTTCTTTCCTTTGAGGGAATGTGGGGAAAGACAGGGGAGGTGCAAGGGGGATAGTTATGTTGTGTGCTTCCCTGTTCAGTTACCTGTTGACTGCTCAACTCAAGTTGATCTGTTACATGTATTTAATACCAAGGAGTGTGAAAATCGTTTGCATGCTTACAGAGTTTTTAATCTGAACACGTTCCTACTCCTCAAGGTTTTATGAAGAATATTTTTGATTGAATTCATGGGAGGTACGAAGAAACTGTTGTGTGAGAATATGTTGGTGTTGTGTGAGAATATGTTGGTGTTGTGGTGTTTTTTTTTTTCCAAAGGTGGTATGTCATGCTTTTATACTTTTCCAGCAGAAAAGGTTGAGACCATGTTTTTACATGTCCTAGATGCTTCTCAAATTAATCCATGGGAATATATCTGTATATATAAAATACTGGAATATAGCTGTAATGACACCACTTGAACTTAAATCCAACTTGCATTGTCTTCAGGACCATTGTTGTGGCTAATGTGCTGGCTTGGGTCTTGAAAGATCTGTGCTTATTTCCTGTCCCTTTTACAGATCTTTGTGTGAGCTTCTACAAGTCATGCTGCCTCTGTGGGTCTTAGCATCCCATCTGTAAAATGGAAATCTTGGTTTTCTTGAGACTGTTTTATTTTAGAAAATACGGGGTATTTTCCCCCCCCATTTATTGAAGCGTATAGTGGCCTCCATCACAACACTGCTATAGTAAGAGTAACATCTCTTTTAAAGTGAGTGGATTTGACATGTGTAAAACATGAAATACAAATGGAGTTTACAAAGCAAGAGCAGAATTAAGATTTAAAAATAATTACTTAAATAGACTAAAGAGCCTAAGGACCAGATGGTTAATAACGAGCCTGTAACCTGTGAATTTCTCTTGTTGTGCACATTGGCTGGCAGGTATTCAGTGAGACTCTGCAGTGACTCTCTGTCTTTTGAGGGTTTGTGTGGCTTGTGTTTATATGTCTTGAATACCTGTAATACATAAAAATTCTCATAACGTGGTTGGAATTGGCTTTTGGGTCTGCGCCAAGAGCCTTAGGGGTGAGCTGTGATGCTTGTGTGCGACCTCACTGTCAACAACTCTGTTGGCAAGTGATAACTGTCCTGCTTGCAGCCCAGTGTGAGACTGGAATTTGTCTGGCTGTGACATGTCTAACAAATGCCTGATGCGTTATTGGACATAACAGTCAGAAACACTGATCAGAAGTAACTCACACCACTGCAACATTATAGTTGGGGTACCTTCTTAATGGCAGGTGTTCTAAGTAACCTGTTGAGATGCCTAATGGACTTTCTAGTGCCTTATGAATAATCCTTAACAGTTTAGCACTGAAGAAAATTTGATGTGTATATTTTACTTAAAATAAATAGTTTAATTTCTCATGATGAAAAATTAGTTCTGTTCTTCTCGGTGTACCCACCATAAAATGTCTGTATAAACTGGCGCTGAATTGCTGAGTAGTTGCTCCTTGTACTTGGATTGATGCCTTAGCAGGGTTAGAGATGTCAAATGGATTTTTGGGTTTCTTTGTGTAGCTTGTTTTGATATAGCTCAACTGGATTTTTCTTTCAGAGCAACCATGTCATTGCAAAAATGATTTCACTTGTTAGGGTGATTAATTGGTGTTTCTCTACTGTATGCATTATTTTAATATTCTGCTTAGTCTTACCTTTCCCTTTTTACACTTTATCTTTTTATATGGAAATTTCCCTTTTCTAGCTGAATGGAAGTACAAGTTTGTACTGCACTTTGGAATAAGAATAAGTAGCTTTCTAAAGAAAATTCGGTTTCCAGGGCTGCTTTTCTTAATTGATCTGAAGCCAAGAGACTATAGGGTGTGGGAAGTAGAATTCAGGACCATGCTCTATTTCCTTTGTTCTCTTAGTTATAATTTTAAAGCTACTGAGAGGATTTTCTAAAGTAAAATTAGGTAGCTCTTTAATAGGTGTAAGATTTGCTCTTGGAAGAATATCCAAGGTTAGGAAAATCACATTTTACTAGCTTTAGTTCTTAGATTTAAGTTCAGATGCATGTTGTTAATCGGTCTCTAGGTTTTATTAAGAATAGTTTTGAAGGATTCTAGATGGGTAAGTAGCGCTAGTTTAAAAAGTAGTGAAAAAAGCCTAAAATCCCAGACAGTGCTGTCATTTGTCCAACTTTCACTATTGTGTTAAAGGTAAAGCAGTAAGTTTTAACCATAAATTAGAAGAGGGTTCTAACTTCTAGACCACACAGCATCTGCACCTTAACAAACACAGCTACAAAATAGTAATTGTTATTAAATACAAGTGTTCTGTCTTTTTGTAAGCAGCAGGCCTGCTGTTCCCCACAGACACATGACTTTTAGTGTTCTAAAGGAACGAAGGAGGAAAACCAGAATGTAGTAAAACTGAATGATCTGAGTGGCACAGGAAAAGCTTTATCGACGAAATCATAGGAGGCAGACTTCAGGAAGGAATGGTTTTCATTAGCTGTTGTCGGGTGTAATCTCCTATGCTGGCAAAGTTTTTGTGAGTTGGTTGTTGGACTTCATACCTTTAACCCTTGTTTTACTACTGTTATTAGTAGCATTAGTTTCCTTTATATCTGCCTAAGTGAGCTTATGTGTCGTTTAGTTACCGTGCTTGTCTCTCGTGCATTTCCTCCCAATAACCAATTCTTAACCCGCAAGAACATCTTGTCTTTCTGGGTACCTGCTGATTGGGGTTGTGTGTGGGTTTTGGTTCCCCCCCCCCCCCGCTTGTCCTGTCTTCACCTGCAAATCTCAATTTTGCTTCTTTAAGTACACTCTTCCTGGAGAAAAAATTGTTCTTAGTCTTTTAGAAATGGGTATTATGTTTCAAAGTCAATTGTATACATCCTGCTGTCTTGGTATATATCTTTCTATTTGGTTGTTGGCAATAAGGTACAGTATTAAAATGTAACTGAGAGATAATTAGAATATGGTGTTACAGACAATTTTAAAAAATGTTTGAGTAGTTTTTTACAATGGGAATTTCACACCTCTTGCTACCTCTATGAGAGATTTGACTTTATATTAGGGATGTTAGGACAAATTAGGTTTTGCTGTGTTGCTGCTCAGCTCCTGATTGGTAAAATATGCTTTCCTCCAGCCTCTCATTTCAGCTGTACTTTTTAATGCATAGGATCTGAAAAGAAGTTTTATTTTAGTTCCCTGTCAAAGTTAATGATGTGATTTTTCCTTTAGTAAGCAAAATATTTGTCTTGACAGAAATAAACAAGGAACTATGGAGACAGTAGAACTGAAATACTGTTTCAACTGTAGTTTTGACTGAAACAAAAATTTGTCTGTTGGGTAATTTGTTCCATTAAAGGACAGTAGCCTTGTGCAAACTTTGCCTTATTAAAAAACTCAGAGCATAAAATAACAAAGAAATCATCAGAGTGTAGAGCTGAGCTTAAAATTACCACTTTTAGTAAGTCATGGTACTTTCAAAGATGGATATCTGAAGCACAGATTTCATCTCTAGGCAGCTTGTCCTAAAACTCTTGCTTCCAGAAAACAGCTGGTTTTCCCCTTATCTTGGAGAAAATATGATTTTTGGATGGTCTTTAGTAAATAGTCCTTCATGTAGTGCTTCATCTTTTTTTTGATACGTTGCTTTGAATAGCATCAGAGATGAGAGGACTATTGTAGGGAGAGGATAGGCATTTCTGGTAATGGTCACTTTTTCAAACTGGAACTTGTGGAAGCTGAAATAGGACAGCTGCTGATTATTTCGGAATCTGAAGGGAATGATCAGCTAGATCATGTCTTTGATGTCTGTACTTCAAATTACCACGTGTCTAAGGTAGATCATAACATAATAGCAGGCAGCAACTTTTATCTTTTTCTGCAGGATATTGTCAAAGTAATCTGACTTTGACCTCTTTGTTAACTTTCCTGTTAGACATCAATGGTCAGGATGTGATCTGTAAAGATTTGAACCTTTGCAGAAGAGGTGCATTTGAATTCTGAAGTGTGTGGCTGGAAAATGGCATTTCGGGAGCTATTTTTGCATTGCTTTAATTCACTCATGCCTCAGATGGGTCACTAGATGCAGTTCTTGGAAATCGCTGGTCTTAAATTCCGTGTAATTCGGAACAAAATGAGACATGAACTTGTAAAATACTGTGTGGCATGGCTCTTGGTTCTTCCTAAGGTGGCCTGAACTGCGAGTAAATGCAACATCCATTAATTTACCATGTTTATAAGGTCCAGCCAGCTGTTAGGACCTTGTGCTTTGGTCTTTAAAAGGCATTGCTAGAGGAAACTACCGTTGGAGGCTGTT